GAAATAATGGAGAGAATCATGGTCCTGTAGAGTTGTAGGAAAAGCTGAGTTGTGGAAAGATCTATCAACTAGGGGAGAAATGATTATTATGTTGCAAGTGCCAACAAGAGGAATTAAATAGTTTTTTTGATTGTTATCAAACGTAGACCGTAGCAAAAGTTCGATCCCATCGACTACAGTTGGCATACGGTCAAAGGCCGTACGGCCTTTGCCAATAGTCATTGCCCTCCTACGATGGAGAAGCAAGGACAGCTCAGTTTATTACAGTGGTTTGATTTTGATACGTCTATTATCAATATCAATTCATGTTTTCTTTACATTACATTACTTTACATTACATTACTTTACTTGGACCTACTGGATTCATTTCAGTCTCCGAGCTTGTAGTCATTACTTTACCGTTTGTTCCGCATTTCAAATCATTACTTTGCGATTATGTCGGCATTGCAACTTCAACGGGCATTTGAGACCAATGGGCCTCGAGGAGCAGCCTTTTTTGGTCCGATGAGTTTTCCTTTTAAGGACAAAACTCTGCATCAACAACTTTTGGATGGCACCATTCCATCTGCAACGGATCTCCGAAGCTCTGTTGGTTTTCCTGTGAAGGACGCGGCGCCATTCAATGTCTTTGCCAAGCATCGCATCATGTCGGATGCCGATCGAGCGGAGGCTATGTCCGAGAAGTTTGCCGATTGGAATGCATCCACCCTCTCTGAAGCGGACAAGTTACATCTTCTGGAAAAACGGCGGGTTGTTGCGGTATTAGGTGTGTTTTCGACACCAGGAAAAACACCAGTAATTGCAATCGGTTCCAATCCAATTGGCACTCGCGTCAATGGGGCGGATTTAGCAACTCATGGGGCTCCGATTTGGAATCAAGTCTTTGATGACGCGTTGGTCCGGCAATACTTGTCTGGTGATGTCTCGTCTCCCACTCATTCTGTGGTGATGTCGATGAACTCGATGACAAGAGCAGGCCCATTACCGGCAACTCGCGACGAATTGGCGGAGCATCTGCTGCCAGTCATGTTGACTGGAAACTTGTCCAAGCTTCTGTTCTTGCCAGACGGCAGTTGTCCTGCTGTGGGATTGTTCTGGCCGACTACCACTACCTTGGACGAATTCGTTGCCTCCTTGAGCACTGGAAATGGAATGGTGGTTCATGATGGATTGTTGGCATTGATTGAGAAGCAGCGACCTCATTTCGAGGAGTGGTTCCAACAGGTCAACGACAACGCGATTCCCTTACAAGTGATGGCAGCATCTGCGTTACCTTTATGGGAAGCTCTACCATCGGCGGCACATCCAGACGGTGTTGGTCTGTTGGATGAGGAGGCTGCTGCCGCGTTCATGTTGCAGCAGCATACGTTTCTCTCTTCGCTACTGTTGGATATGGGGCTATTTACAAAGTGTGGAAGACGCCAAACTTTGCGTAACGAATGTTATCAGCTGGCGGCGTGGGTGAGACACGCGGCACAATGTCATCCGGATGAGGAATTGGGAATCAGGGCGCCAGAGCGGTTGCCGTTTCTGACCTCACTTTTTCCCCCAGAAGGTGGATGGCCCATCCCAACATTGGATCCACTACTTTCCTTGGATAATAAAATTGAACTACCCGACCCATACGCCCAGTATGAGCCTAGGTCCATTTCAATGAAAGATAATGATACTTTTGTTCCCAGTCGTTTGCAGCTCCCAAGTGCAGAGGGAACTGAGGATTTTCAGGCGTTTTTTGCGAGTCCACTTGCAACTGTAGCGCCAAGACCTACTGCACCTCCACAGGTACCTTTCCCTGCTCCACAACAGGGGGTGTCTCCAGCTACCGCTGGCATTGTACCAACCAACGGTGTGCCTACAGTGACCCCATCACCTCAGAATGCGGTCCACGGACCATTGCCAATGCAGAATGCGTTTGGGGGGTTGTCTGGTCTACAAGCAACCAATTTGTTGCACCAGTTCACTGGCACTCCAGCACAACAATCGCCCCATCTTACAGACGTCCAACAGCAGGTCCCGCAGTCTCCGTTTCTAACTGGAGGGCATGGTGGGTTTTCATTTCCAGCAGTGTCGCCAACTACTCCTGCGGCGGCCACTGCTGCTACAACAACACATGGCTTTCCAACTGCGGACTCGGTAGCAGGTCCCGCCGGTTTTGCACCACAAATGAACCCTTGGGCAGCTACCTTGGCTTCTCTGGGTGCTTTGCAAGCAGCGGATGGATCATATTCGCCGTTCAAAATGAACGTCCAAAGATATGCTCCTGCACATCGGGCGACCATTAAGTCTGAAACTACAAGGACAATGTGTCCTCCCGTGTATCTACAAGCTGCATTGTTGTTGGCAAAACCCTTCAGTGATGGCGCTTGGTTGGTTTTCTCCGAAGGTAATACTGAACCTGCGTCCTCATGGATGCAAATTGTGGACCCTTCGACCTTTGGGAAAGTTATGCTTTCCCCACATGATCAGGGTTCTAATAAAGGTGGTACTACTACAGATAGTGTTAATTTTCTGCACCAAGCCATTGATTTCCGAGCAAAGGCAGACAATGCTTTCCGACTGGTTCGTCTTCCTGAAAGGGTTGCATCTCGGGTGATTACGGCGTCAATGCAGAAGCTGATCTATCATGTCTCGAGTTGGGACATTGAAAGGGGCCGGCAAGCTCCCACATTAGCTTCAAAGCGCTGGCATATCTTTCATCTCTTGCCATTGCTAAGGGAAGGTTACAGTGGCGAGCATTTGCCATCAAATGGCCTCACTCTTTTGGAGGCCCAACAGTTTGGAAAATTTCTCTTTTTGATAATGGCAATGATCGGATCGGAGGAAAAATTAAACAGTGATTATGATGATTCAACATTTTCATCATCCATCTTTGGAACAGTCTTAACATTCCTCTGCCGGGTCCCTCAGAACTTGAATCTCCAGAGGGTCTGGACAGAGCGTCAGAGAAGCTGTACTCAGCAATGGATGGATGATTTGATTGCCACCTTTGAACTTGTGGCAAAGATGGTAGCGTATCGATCTGGTTCGTCATTTCGCACTTTTGGTATGCGAGATGCACAGTTGATCCATGACCAGGCAAATCGTTTTGTGGTAGTTCCCACCAAAACTGGGGACAATGATTTTGCACAGATGCCTCTGAGTTATGTAACCGATATGAAGCGACTATACACCCACTGTTTTGATAAGTGGGCGCCAGGTATTGTGGATGTGCACGATCCAAAATGGGCTACTTCTTCTGCCCACCCGGCGTATTTTTCTCGTTTGGTGAATCCTCCACAAGAAAGACAAGGTGGTCTCCGCAGTGATCCTGGTCGTGAGCCTGCTTTGAAACGTCTTAAGGCAGTTGGATTTGCAGCAACACCTGAGGCCGGTACTGGTCCGATCCAGGTGGTAAAACCTTTGTTCAAATTGTTAGCTCCAGTTCCTCCGGGAAAAACCCCTTTTGAGGTATTCATGCCAAAGCTGCAAGCAAAGACAAGCCCATTGATTATGAATGCCAATGGTAAGACCAAGCATCCCATTTGTTTTCGTTCTGCTTTTGAAGGTTCTTGTACTTGTGACGTAACAGGGATCTGTCGATCCCGCTATCCGCCTTTGTCGGCGGGAGTGGGACAGGAACGCATGCATGTTGACTTCAATGATCCCTGTTGGCAGCGAGACAATTACCGAGAAGAACAGTGGGCGCCAGTGGTAAAATTTGTAAAGCATTACCACGGGCTTGGGCTTCTTGGTCCAACACAGTGGTTGAAGGATGCCACTCCCAATACACCTTGGGCACCGTGAGACCCACTGTTTCCAGAAGGTGCACGTCTTCTGGAAGCAGACACTCCCAAGGCAATTTGTACGCCAATCAGGTTGGATTGTCGTCAGAAACGAAGCTTTCGTCATACTCCTCCGCCTACAGTGAAGAACCGGTGGCCAGGTGACGGTGATTGGCAACATTTTCCTGTTGATCAACGGGAAGTTGCTTTCATGGATGTGGCGGTTTCTGTCCAGGCAAGTGGTTTTTTAGACCCTACCGATGTCGAATGTTTGGGAATGGCACATCCAGATTTGGTTGAAAATTCACTTGTCTTAGATACATGGATTTCAAAACCTTGGTCGCCTATCCGGAGACGTCGCTGGGGCTTTGGAAAAGTGTCCAAGGATCGCGGTCTATCTCATGATCGTGTCAATCCACGGTCCATGATACATTTTGCTTGGAAGTTTCTTACACCATCAGAACGGCGGATAGCAATGGAAGCATTTCCCCAATGGAAATCATATGCGGCCCTCCGGCGCTTTGTTTGTGTTCACTCTGTTGCTGTCCTAAAAGCACCACGGGTTCTCCCTGCTGATGCGGACGAACCCACAGCCCTGGATAAGCATCGTGCCTGGTTGAATTCTGCTGGACTGTTGCGTTTTGATTTTAACCATGGTGATCTCATACGTTGGATGGGGGGCGAGTACACCAATCGACACCGTGATTTCAATGCAGAATGGGATGTCATAGAATCAAAATTGCAGAATAGATCGATTCCGTCTGATCTTCCACCTACAAAATTGGATCTTGCTTATCGAATCCAGACAGAGGGTGTGCCTCTGCGGGGCCAGTTTACTACCCCCATGACGGCAACAGGTCTGCGAAATTCTTATGATAATCATCCCGCGGTGGATGACAATTTGGACAAGGTGGAAAAGAAGTTCGCAAAAGAAGAGTGGCGATCATATCATCTACACTATCTGCGGTTTGTGTATGAGTTCATTCCTGGCCTTGTTATCAATCCAATCCAATGGGTTTTTGACAAAGGAAAAGGTCGGATCTGCATTGATTGCTCCAATGGTCCTGATCCATTTGGTTCTATCAATCGTTACATTCCATCTCCAAAGGAGGTCAAGGCCGCAATGGAACACGCCAAAACGGCAACAGAGATGCTCAAGCTGCCAAAGCTGCTGAAAATTTGGAATTGGAATGCCCACAAGTTTTTTACCAGTATGCATTTCGACGTTTCCTGCGAAGGATTCTACAGATGCGCATCACGCGACCTAATGAACCTATCATGGTCCATGCAGACGATATTGAGGCTGCTTTCCGGAGAGTGTTATATCACCCAGATCTGGCCTGTGCTTTTGCATATGTCTATTCAGATTATCTCATGGTACCTGTGGGTCAGGTTTTTGGCTCCCGCAGTGCACCTTCTTATTACTGTGTGTTGGCAGATGTTCGTCAAGCATTGGCAGCGTGTCGACCAGATGATTCCATTGTCCATCCTTTGGTGGCATCATGTACCTTTGAGACTGATTCATCTACTCCTTTGGTCCAAGTTCCACAAGACTCCCATTACCCGCTACTCTCTCTAGAAGAGCAGGAAAGTATGTATAATGCTAGTTTTGTAGATGACAATGGTGTCGTGGCATATTTAAAAGAAATGCCACAAGCGCTTCAGCACAGTGTCCAGTCAGCTTTTGAGACGTTTGGAGTGGAAGATCGCCGTGGTGGTTGCCTTCAAGATGCCAAGTGGACTTCTTTGGTTTCGGAGACATTCATGTTCTTGGGGTTTCGTATCGATACACATCACATGACCGTTTCATGGCCGTTGGAGAAACGCCAAGCCCTCCATACTGAATTGATGGATATTCTGGCACGACGACCCAAATATGTTACGCCAAAAGAAATGGCACATATTGTGGGGGTCATCAGATCTGCGTCTGAAATTGCGCCTTGGGGTACTTTTCTGAGTTTTAATCTCCAGAACGCGTTGACATCTGCTGCTCGCAACGCATATTCTACTGGCAGGACATGGTGGACACGCTCTTGGATATATCTTTCCAATATTGCAATTGCCACAATTCATCAGCTTCTGGAGACTCTCCTGGTTCCGGAAAGTAGTCTTTTGTGGTCTCGACCTATTGCACTTTATTTGGAACGTGATCCCACACACAGAGTCTATTCTGATGCAAGTTATGCCGGAATTGGTGGATGGAGTTCTGATTTTGGCTTCCTCTGGAGAATCTGCCGTGATGACTTGGCACGAGCGGGTTTTGATATGAAGCCGATTGATATTGTGTCCTCAGAGCCTTCAGACATTGCTCATGAGGGTCTACACATCAACCCTTTGGAGTTTCTTGGTGCTTTACTAAATTTATGGATTACCATCAAGCTTGTGATGAAAGCTGGTCCCCGCGCTGGTGGATACATCATTGATCTTCTTGCCGATAATACAACAGCGCTTTCTTGGATGTCACTTGCATCGCGAACCAAAAATCCTTTGTTACAAGGCTTGGCTCGACTTGGTGCTGCTTTGCTTGTTCGTGCTGCAGAATTACTAACTAAAGTTTCTCCTAAACATTTCCCTGGTGATCAGAACGTGGTGGCAGATGCATTGAGCCGTCCGCCAACACTGGCGTCTCCCAATCAGAATGTGTTGGATTGCGTTATCGCTCAATGGTCCCAATTGGACAGGTGTCGCATCTGTCTTCTACCTTTCAAACTACTCTCCGAGATTGCATCGGTGATTTCGAGTCGCGCGACCGTGGTACAGTACGAGGTTCTAACGACCAATCTTTTGACTCTCGAGCTGGACATTTTGGATCTTGGTGTACGCACATGGGACTCTCCAAGCACGATTTACGAGGACTAAGTCCTGACACTTGCATTTTGGTCTTGGGTGCTTTCATCAACAAGGTTCAAAAAGGCGACAACTTGACGCAAAATGAAAATGTGGGTTCTCAAACCATTACAAACTATCTGAATGCCGCCCACCGTCTCCTTGAGGACATTCAAGGACAACGGATTGATATTCTTGACCCACATTGCACTGGTAAAACAAAACGCTTTCACCCCTTTCTTAGTCAGCAAATTGCTGATAGTAAAGCCTGGTCTCAGCCACAACAGAAAAAAGAACCGTATACCATGGACATGTTTGTGGCCCTTGTTGAAAAGTTTTGCAAAAGCTCGGATCCCATCACTTGTTTCCTTGGGAAAGAGTATGCAGTATATGATTGGGCTCGCCTGGGCGTCTTCACTGGTTTTCGAATAACCGAATACGCCCAAAACAGCAAAGTGAAGAAAGGGCACAAGTTTCTCTTGGTACCAGCCAATTCTTGTGTGCCTCCGGAGTTTCATCATACTCCAATGGCATTTACATTGGATGATCTTCGATTTTATGATACCAACCATATCTGGGTTCCCCATCGATTGGTCCACAAACGGCACTTAAACAGGGAAATCCTTGAGTTGGAAATCCGTTGGCGTTATGACAAAAGTGCTCATAACTTCTCCATTCGCCGTTATAGGATCACTGGTCATCATATTTTTGATCCTGTTGATGCGGCAGTGAGTATTGTTCATCGACATACCTTGTTGAATGTCCCGTCGGCTTATCCTTTGGGCGTTTGGAGCGACACTGGGGTCACTTATCGTTTCATAAAAGATACAGATGTCACCAAGGTTATGCAACATTCTGTGGATCTTGCATATCCGGATCCACACCATTACATGCGTCGCCACCGCCACCTTGTTCTACCGCATTCCAATCGCGTCACTGCTGCTGTCTGTTTGCAAAAGGGTGGGGCCAGTAATGACGAAATTGCGTTCAAATTACGCTGGCATCCGACGTCTGTACCCACCTATTTGCGCGATTGTTTCCAAGCAGTGGGCGACTTGTTGGCGCGGTCCATAACGGGTGTCATGAAGATGTCCTTTTCTTAGGTCGTCCTTTTGCCTTTCTTTCTTCCTTTCTTCTTTTCGTTTGTTTCTTTTGTTTGTCTGATCTTGGAGTTGCTCGTGGCTTGTGGTGGTAGGGTTGTTCTCTCCAATATCAACCTTGTGGTAGGCAAGCAGGTCTCAGAAATCCTGTTTACGGGATTCCTGAGATTGGTCTTCCGGGTCCCCCTATTGACCCGGAAGACCCGCTTCACACCACAACCCACCGGTCAGACTCCATGCAGACAGATCCAAGACGAACACCAAGCGGAAGGCGCCAGTAGGCTATCTCAGATAGTCAAACGTAGACCGTAGCAAAAGTTCGATCACATCGACTACAGTTGGCATACGGTCAAAGGCCGTACTACGGCCTTTGCCAATAGTCATTGCCCTCCTACCATGGAGAAGCAAGGACAGCTCAGTTTATTACAGTGGTTTGATTTTGATACGTCTATTATCAATATCAATTCATTTTTTCTTTCCCACCATCACCCACCCTGTTGGGCACCATCGCCTTTCTTCTATGTGGCGATGGTGCCCAGTAGGCAAGCAGGTCTCAGAAATCCTGTTTACGGGATTCCTGAGATTGGTCTTCCGGGTCCCCCTATTGACCCGGAAGACCCGCTTCACACCACAACCCACCGGTCAGACTCCATGCAGACAGATCCAAGACGAACACCAAGCGGAAGGCGCCAGTAGGCTATCTCAGATAG